GGCCCCATTGACTAGACAACTACAGATGCCCGCAGGCCAAGCCTGATCCTTACCGCATTCATAGTGGGCTTGCCGATTAAGCAGTATATTCTCCACTGCATTCGACAGCGCTACTTACTTGAACTGTGAGTAGTCTTGAGACTGTCGGTAATTCTTAAATGAGAACCAGTCGCTTAAGCTAACTTAAGCAGTGATAGTCTCAAAAGTAAAAAAACTCTCTACTATGGAATCACATCCTTTCCTGCCCTTTATAAATAAATGAAAAAAATCACACATCTCGAGCCGTCAAAACACTTCCCGCTTTCACAGCCTCTGAGATTCACTATTTGGGCTCTTGACTCTTGCATTCGGTTGGGGGCCGGCGCCACGGTCCGACCTCCATTGGCCTTGGGGGGCAAAGAGAGAGCATGACGCAATCCGGAATTGCCTTCATGGTCAGTTCGGCTTCAGACTGCGTACCGGAAGGCCATTAAGCAAACTGATTTGGCGTGGTCCAAGCGGTCGGCTTCTGTCGTCTACATGAAGGATCGATCAGCGAACCAGCTGTGCATGCGAGCCATGCCAAGGTTGAAGGACATTTGCCTGTTTGCATCGATCATCAAGCCATCGCAGAGCAATGCCGGCATGCCTGCCTCGTCTCGATGCGCTTAAGCTTGTTTGTGTGTGTGTGTGTGTCTGGCCCACATCTCAACGACTTGACTTCAACATGTCTCTGTGCCTGCCGCTTGATTATGAGAGCGAGACCAATTGTCGACATGGCTAGCTAATGAGCCGACTGAGCAATAGTTTTTGTGTTCATCCTTCCTTTGTAGTCATTAGTTAGGATTGTAGCCCTTATTACGTTTGCCTTGGCCTCAAATTCTGCATGGGTCTTGTGGGCGCAGACGACTTCGTATCGATTTATTCTGTTCGTTATTCTCATTGGATGGCGAGCCCCAACTGGCCGGCCAGTCCGTTTCAAATCACCTCCAGTCAGCCGGGCCTTGCGCTCCACTGGACCGGCGGACGTCGGTTCAATCGCTTTGCTGCCTCGTCTCACTAGCTGCCTTTGCAGCCTCGGTCAGGAGGCGGCACATTCAGCATTCGGACGCGACGGCAGCTGCTCTCCGGACCGGGGCACGTCGGAGCATAATGCAACGCGGAACCTTGTGAGACTGGAGGTCCCAACGACTGCAGAGACGTACTGCAAGTATTAATTGGCCTTCCGTCCAGCCTGTGGACGGCCCGCAAATCACCCAGCCTGAACATCTGTTGCTTACTCTCAGGCAACTTCGTCAGTCTCAGAGACTTAAAAGAGGCGCTTAAGGATCCAGACTTCCTACTGCAATGAGCCCATACCAAAGACCATTTGTATCACTAACTCGTGAAGTCTTACTAAGCATCTGCTCACGCATTCGCTACTTCCACAAGTCGTTGGGAGAGCTTCCCTTTGCTTGCGTACATTCCAACTGTCTACCTGATCCAAGGATCTTGGTGTATTATGTGGTATAGGTTGTTGAGTTCACACCTGATCACTTTGTTCGAGACTCTTGAGCCTAGAGCAGAGACACCGGCATTGGTCCTTACCAAATACATCTCTTAATTGTGTGATGAAAACGTGGAAATCATCTCGAGAGGCTTGATACAGTATCGAGAGCTTTTGGTGTACGGACAAGGCAGAGTTATTTTTGTCCACGTTTTCCAGACAAGAATTTGGGCGGATTCGTTATCTGGAAGGCTCGTTATTACTTACTAAAAGGTTATGCAAGAATTGGCGGCTCTACGCGCTTCTGTGGGACTATTCATGTTTAGAAATTGCGACGGATGCACCTATCAGTTTATCTTTGTGGACAAAATTCGTCGCGTGCAAGACTGGGATAAGAAATGACAGGGAAGATCCGATTTTGCTGACGAGCTTCCATGTGGCTTGCTTGGTCAGACCTGAATGCCAACCCTCGAGGTGCGGAGGAACCTTGTCGCACTCCAGCTTTGGCCGTACCGCACATTCGGGATAAGAGACGGACATACTTTTCCTGGCACGACAGATAATTCATTCCCTTCGAGTAATTGTGGGTTGATCATCTGTGGGGCTTGATCACTAAGCTTGTTCTGAAAGTCATATCCACTATCCTACCCTTATGACATCTCTGGATTTGTGGCGAAGTGGGAATGTGTCACTACAGGTTCTGTAGGGGCATTAGTGATAATATTTAAGTTTCCATATCACTGCGTCGTTTTTTTACTTGACTAACCATAGTAATAACTATGTTCCTTTTCTGTCCTCAAAACTATTTGTTTCTTCTTCTTTTGCTATTCCTCATTATATTCATGTTCGGTACCACTACATGGCTCTCAATCTTGAAGGCAACCTGAATTTAAAATTACTATTAGCTTTTTCTGAGTAAAGGCAGGCTCAGCTTAGTTTTTGATAACGAAATGTTCAAG